GTGTGGTGGTCGTGGTGGTTGGCGTGGTGGTTGTAGTTGTGGTGGTTGGCGTGGTGGTTGGTGTGGTGGTCGTGGTGGTTGGCGTGGTGGTTGTAGTTGTGGTGGTTGGCGTGGTGGTTGTAGTTGTGGTGGTTGGTGTGGTGGTTGTAGTGGTTGGGGTTGTGGTTGTCGTGGTGGTTGGAGCTGCGGTGGTTGTGGTGGTTGACATTGTGGTGGTTGACGTTGTGGTCATAGAGGTTGGAGCTGCAGTGGTTGTGGTGGTTGTGGTGGTTGTGGTGGTAGTGGTGGTAGTTAGTGGACTGTTACACAAACTGGTTGTGCAGCATGTTGGTCCACTGGTGATGGAACCAACATTCTGCATGAACGGTAAACTACCCAGGCTTCCAGCAACTAAACATGTATTTGGACTCACACAGCCGAGCACTGGAGATGTTCTGGATCCACTCGTCACTGTGGACATAAAACCAAAGGATTATTGTATAAATTGTCTCTTTTTAAATAAACAAACAGACTGTGAGGTCTTCACATCAATTGCTATCATAACATTTTTCAGATGCAAATTTTTTAAAAATTTATAATGTTAAAGGACAACTTTACCACTTCCAGTGCTTTATAACTGGTTAAAATTGATGTTTTACTTTTAAAACTCATTAGATTGTCAATTGTAATTTGAATGTATCAACATCATTTAAATGTATTTTTTGTCAGATTTTGCAAACGTTGGTGGAATATGTCAGCAAAAAACTAAGTAATGAACATGAAACTCACCAATTGCTGAGATGCAGGTGGTCTCACTCCCTGAACATTGTACTGAAGACGTGCACTGAGAGGTGGTAGGGTTACAATAATTACACTGCAGGCTGTTAGCTGSCTGAGTGCTGGGAACTAAAACACAGAGAAAGAAAAAAACAGAATTTTCAATTTATTATATAAAAAAGTAGAGCTGGATTAAAAAAAAGTGTTTTTAATACAAAAACTTACAAGGTAGTGTTTGTGAGTTGCAGYTGTCGGTGTTGCAGCACTGAGCAGAGGCCAATGCACCTGACACACCCAAGTTGACTGAAAAAGTCTGACTGCCTGTGCTCGGACACAGAGCTGATGAGGCGCAGGCTTTGTAGATTTGTGTTCCTGTAGTTCCAGATGAAGTGGCTGCAGAGTCAAAGAGCAGTTTGTTAATGTTGATGGAAAATACACAGAACATAACAGAGCAGATGAAAGAAAATAAAGAAAATACCTTGAATAGAAGCTGTTATACACATCGTCTCTGAGCTACAAGTCASTGGTGCTGTGGATGAACACGCCTGATCTGTGCAGGTAATACACTGCAGTGCTCCAGCTGAAAGACAGAAAAATAAAATCACAATGACAGTTTTTAATATAGGAACCTGTTCTGAAAAGGTCAAACGGAAAGTTTTAAGCATCTCATGTCACTTGATTATCCCCAAAGACATCTGTTTTTCTAAAAGAAGTTGCTTTTTCTTTCATTTTTTTGTTTTAGAAATTGAGAATTATAAAGTTCGTCAAAGACTAAGATTTGTTTTTACTTTAAACAAAAGTTTTTCTATATATTATTGAACATAATTTTATAACCTTCGTAACTTTGAATAATTACAAACTCCCGACGAATGATTTTAAAATTCTGTATTTTAGGTGAAATATGTCACCTTGTATTTACTCTCTGTAGAACCTGATAAAAAGAAACAATAAGTGGAGTTACCTGTGCTGACAAGTGCCCAGAGGAGAGTCAGAGAAAAGATCAGATTCATTGCGATGTTTCTGTGAGTTCTGTTGATTTGGTTCTCCTGGATTCCGTTTCTAAAATTCTATCAGCCGTGCAACAGTTTTTATACCTACAGGTGAACTCCCTGTCTGGGTGTGCTCACATATTTTCAGCATCACTGTTCAAAAATATTGTCTTGTGACGTCTTTTGTCAACATCCCAATAATTACCTCAACACACCTAGACAAGCATTCACTCACATTGACATGTAGTCAGTTTGGACAGTTCACCAATTCAGGTATTTGTTTCTTCTAACGAAGCTTCTTCAGAATCTGTTCGTCATTTAAGGTTTTTAATGTTACGTCTTTGAGTGCTGATTCATGCTTGATCTTTCCCTCAGAGAAAAACAAACGTCAAACAGATAACTATGGAGAGCCATTTCATTAAAAAATAATTTAAAATATTGTAAATGATAAAGTATTAATCAATAATCTATCAAATAAATAAATGCTCCCATGAAAGTAAACAAAATCATAATATTTGTTATTTTTTCTTGATTTATTTACCTTTTTATTTCTATTGCAAAAAGAAGTATTTAACAATTTATTTATTATTTATATTGTAGTTTTATTATGTGACATTTTTATTTTGAAAAGCTACTCTACGTATTTTAGGGGCTTTTATTTTTAACTCCCCTTTTATTTCATGCTTTTTTGTTTTATGCATTTATATTCATGTGAGGGGGCACCTCCTGGCAGCTCTGCATGATAAAACATTAATTTCTGTGAATAAWATGCATAAACACAAACATCTGTCCATTCGTCCGTTTTCTGCCTCTTTTCTGGGGTCAGGGCTCGGGAGCAGCATTCTAAGCAGAGAGACCCAGACTTCCCTCTCTCCAGCCACTTGGACCAGCTCCTCTGGGGGAATCCCAAGGTGTTCCCAGACCAGCTGAGARACATAGTCCCTCCAGTGTGTCCTGGGTCTTCCTCTGGGTCTCCTCCCAGTGGGACGTGTCCAGAACACCTCACCAGGGAGGAGTCCAGGAGGCATCCTAACCAGATGAACCACCTCAACTGGCTCCTCTCCACGTGGAGGAGCAGCGGCTCTACTCTGAGTCCCTCCTGGATGACTGAGCTTCTCAGCCTATCTCTAAGGGAGAGCCCAGACATCCTGCAGAGGAAACTCATTTCAGCTGCTTGTATCTGTGATCTCGTTTTTCGGTCAAAACCCAAAGCTTGTGACCATAGATGAGAGTAGAAAGACTAGTTTACCGATCAGTAAACCGCGCGCTTCACCTTCTGGCTCAACTCTCTCTTCACCACAACAGACTGGTACAATGCCTGCATCACTGCAGCCACAGCACCAATCCGCCTGTCGATCTCCAGCTCAATTCTTCCCTCATTCATGAACAAGACCCTGAGACACTTAAACTCCTCCACTTGGGGCAGGACCTCCTCCTCAACCCGGAGAAGGCACCCTACCCTTTTTTGGCTTAAKACCATGGTCTCAGATTTGGAGGCACTGATCCTCATCCCGRCCGCTTCACACTGGGCTGTGAACCGCTCCAGTGAGAGCTGGARATCAGGATCTGATGAAGCCAATAGRAACACATCATCCACAAAAAGCAGAGGCGTGATCTTAAGGTCACAATCAACACGGAAACACAAACATGCAAGTCCATAAATGTGTTGTTGCACTGTGACCATAAAGGCCTTGCAGAGGTACTTTAGGGCTCATATTCAAAATGGCAATCTTTTTCCCAGGCAGGTCAGAGCTGCGCTGACCAGGCCAAATTGTTAAACATTCCTTCAAATGAACAGCGTTCAAATTTTGTGCGCCTAGCAACTTCCTGTCTCAAGTTATGACTAAAATTGTTTGTTTCTAAGTAAAGGTCTCTGCAATCAGATGGGGAAAAGTACAAAAATTATAAGATGAGATTTCATAATTACAAGATCCTGAACTCATAACTATGAGAAAAGTAAAGAGAGTCMAAASTGACCTACACTACAGGAAAAGTGAACAACGACTGCATTATCAGATTTTATATGCTTTTATTTCCTCTTAGATGAAACAGGGAAATATTGAGTTTATTTGATGTGGATGGTGTTGTGCACACCAGTCTACACAAGTTACTTCTGTTTAATTCAGATTGTCACAAACGTAACACAGGCACTCAGTTTACTGTCAATGGGGGCACTACTCTGTGAGCGACTCCTGACACRGCTCTCTGTGTGCTTCTGAAGATTTTAACATTTTTAATTGCTTTTTCTTATTATTCTATTGTCGTTGTAATCACCGGGATGTTATCAGCAACAGTATTTTATCTGGCCTGTCTTTGACTCATCATCAACCTCCTGTGGGATGCAAACTGCCTCAGTTTATCATTGACGGCAGCGTCATTTAGCAACGCTGGCAGACAGCTACTCAGGAGGAYACCTGCAGGAGCTGRGCYGCCAACTTCTTCCAGAAACAAGGAACATATTCCCCCAAACCAGCAACATACCTCCTGAAMTTCTTCGCCCACAAAAACGAAAACGGATCCGAACGAAAAGAGGATCCAGAGGAGGAATACGGAACCGGCTCAGAAGGTGAGGAAGCCGGCTACCTGCCATAACGCTGTCAAATGTCCGATCTCTTCAGAATAAGACTGAAGAACTCGATATACTTTTGAAATTTGACATGGATTTTAAACAAACTAGTCTRTTCTGTTTTACTGGGACCTGCTTTCTGACGACACAGACTTCCATCTGGATGGATTGAACATCATATGTTTTGACAGAGATGCAATGRAAACYCTGAAGTCAATCGGGGGCAGAMTGTATGCTGTMMACAACAGGTGGGCAACAAATTTTACAGTGAGGGAGAGACTGAGTTGAAAAAACTRTGAACTGATGACTGTGTCCTTTAGACCTCACTACCTGCTCAGAGAGTTCTCCCAGATCACTGTCATCCTTGTGTACCAGGTCCGGATTATAACCTCGCTGCAGAGCACATCACTGACAGCTACAACAGAGCTGTCAGTCAGACTGGAGAGCAGCCAGTGTTTTTACTGGTGGGTTTTAACAGGTGTGACATTACCACTCATTTACCTTCCCTGAAACAATATGTTAAACCTCCCAACAGAATGARCAATACACTGGACTTGTGCTTTCCTAACATCCCAGGTGCATAAATTTCCAAGCCACGCCCACCACATGGCCGTTCAGATCATAATGTGATTCTGTTACTACCCAAATACAGATCACAATTAAAGAATGCTGTGATGCACTTGTGACCTGTCCAGGGTGTACCCCGCCCCTCGCACTGTGACTGCTGGATGTGGGCACCAGTGACCCACGCAACCCTGAAAATGAAGAAGTGTGTACAGAAAATGGATGGATGGATGGAACTAAAGAATGGTGAACTTCTTAAAAAACATTAAGATCTGGAATGAAGAAGCAGCTGAAGCACTTAAAGGCTGCTTTGATTTTACTGACTGGGACTTGTTTTTTAGTGAACACAGGGATGATCCACATCTTTTAATAGACGTTTTAACTTCCTATATTTTATTCTGTGAAGGCACTGCCACTTCGTCATAACCATCTATCCCAATAATAAAAAAAAATGGATTACAAAAGACATGAAACTCTGCCTCATCCAGAAAAAACATGCTTTTCTTCAGGGAGACAAATCTAGGATGAGAGAGCTGGAAAAGGTGTTGAAGAAGAAGGCCATGTGGGCCAAGATCAACTACAAGAACCGGGTGGAAGAAATACTAACATCTGGGAATGCAAGAGATGCATGGCAGGCCCTGAACTCCATGATGGGCCGAGTCACCAAGCCTGCAGCAGTCAACTGCTCAGATCCTTCCTCTCTCACAGACCAACTGATGTCACTCCCTTCCTGCAGGAGCAGGTAAACCAGTACTTAATGCTTCATGGCTATAAGTAGCTAATGCATCTAAAATGCACCCAAACTGGCTTGGTGGCGTCCTAAAGAACTGTCCGGTGTTATATTACATCCTGTACGCACACAAAGAGTGCACGCTTGGTCCGGTTTTAACTCTGTATGTGTGTGTATGTGTTTAGTTCCTAYTGTTACATCTGGTAGCTGCTCAAAATCCTTGATACTCATCTTTTCTCGTAATTACGACATCAGGATCTCATAATTATGATATCAGGATCTCGTAATTATGATAACAGGAGCCAGTTTTATTTACTTAATTATTTTTTTGGTGAATGCAATGATCTTCTGTACATTTGGAGGAACGTTTAATAATTCGGCTTGAACAAAAAAGCCTTCACCTGCCTGAAAATGATTACCATTTTGAATATGAGTCCTAAATTCAGAAGAGTCCGACGACACGAACTGATAGAGAAAAGCATTAATTTTGTCAAAAAAAAAAGAGAAAGAAAAAAAACTGAAAACCCTTTCTGCTCACAGAACAACAAACTACTATTACTACTACTACTACTACTACTACTACTACTACTACTACTACACACTAATGTAAGAAAATTTGTCTTATTTTGCTTGATTGAGAAAAATGGAAGCAAATGCGTGGGGACAGAAGTAATTAGAGTAATTGTTGATTTGGAACAATGCTATCATAAGTCATGCTCAAACATTTTAACAGTTTAACTTAGTTATTTCTTAACAGTTTATTTTTAGAATACATAAATTAGACAAATTATATGATGCCAGCCTCTTAGATGAATATTTGACATCTACATAAATGTGATTTGCAAACTTGCTAAATCGACTAATAATTTGTTTATATAAAGCATTTATTGTACCATAAAYAGAAGTGGTTCAAAAGCAAAACCATGAGGAACTCCAGAAACAGCAGGGCAGCACAAACTGTGTTCAGTAACTGTGAGGTGCAGACAGTGATTGACCCAGGGCATAAATAAATAAATAAATAAATAAATAAATAAATAAATAAATAAATAAATGCAAAAGGCTTCATTTAACAAAAGAGGCTGGTGAGGCAGCTCAAAAAATACTTACAAAAACTCAAGACTCTTCGCTGGAGAAACATGAACACAAGGAACATGGGAACACCACACTGGCTGGGTTTTACAGCACAATGATCCGACAGACGGAAGACAAGACACCAAATATAAAGGGTAACTAAAGACAGACAAATGAAGCACACCTGGGGGAGACACAAGAGGAAACAGATGAGTGTGGGCAGGGCTGGAGGAATGACAGCAGTGCAGAGACACACAGGGAAACACAGAAAACACTGGAAAACTAAGGCAGAAAAGACACAGACCATGACRACATGTGACAGCCCTCTAATGAATCATCTTTATTAAGTTTAGGCAAAAATCTGAGCTTTATTCATCATATTTTTGTCTTATTTTTAATTAACCCCCCATAAAAACAAAGTTGGTGAAACAACCTCAAAGCGAATCACAAAACACAAACACAAACCAGTTTGTAAGGTATTTGCTTGAAAACATTACAAATCATTTAAAACGATTTWATGAAAAATAAATGCAGAATTTGAAAAGAAGCACAACATATAAACAGATTAAAATAAAAAACCATCAAATGTTTTTAAATGTTTTTAAATATAATTTTACTAAATTATAATTAACTAGAACCAATCGAATCCATACCTTCACCAAGACTAAATGAGAGTGCAACTGCTGAACTGTGATTGGTGGAACAAGTTTCTGCTGAATGCTGACTGGCTGTTATAAACACTAAAAAACAGCTGTTTGTGCCAAATCACAGCGAGCTGCAGCTCTTGTACATTTTGTCAAATCACCATCTACGCTTAATCTTAACCAGTTGTGCTTTGTGAAAAACCCAACCAAAACATTTTGAGCAATTTTGTGCACAGACACACAGACACACAACCAAATAAACCAACACCAAAAAAAAGAACCTCCATGGTGGAGGTCAAACTAAACAGTCCAAGCAGAAGACGGAGAATGCTCAGACTGACACTTGATGTTTCACTGGTTGTTGTTGTTGTTGTTGGGGTGGTGGTTGTTGTGATTGTTGTGATGGTCTTGGTTGTTGCGCGGGGGTTTGTTGTCGGTGCGGCGTTTGTTGCGTTTATTGTGGTGGCCTTGGTTCTTGTTCTTGTGGTTGTGGTCATCATAATGGTGGTTGTTTTCATTGGCGTGGTCATCATCATGGCTGTGTTTAGGGTTGCAGGGTTTGGTGGATGGTATTTTAGTCGTAGTCTTCATTGTGGTTAGTGTGGTTGTAGTAGTAGTGGTGGCTGGTGTGATGGTTGTGGTTGGTGGTCGAGGACTGTTGCACAAACTGGTTGTACAGCATGTTGGTTGACCGGTGATGGAACTAACATTCTGCATGAACGGTAAACTACCCAGGCTTCCAGCAACTAAACATGTATTTGGACTCACACAGCCGAGCACTGGAGATGTTCTGGATCCACTCGTCACTGTGGACATAAAACCAAAGGATTATTGATTCTTTAATTTAACAAACACCCTGTTAGGTCTTCAAAAAATGTATTTATCTTGTACAAAGCAGCAAAAATTGTTGGAACATGCACCAAAACACTTAAATTACACATAAAAATTAAAGTAATAAACATGAACTCACCAGTTGCTGAGATGCAGCTGCTCTCACTCCCTGAACATTGTACTGAAGACGTGCACTGAGAGGTGGCAGGGTCACAATAATTACACTGCAGGCTGTTAGCTGGCTGAGTGCTGGGAACTAAAACACAGAGAAACACAAAACACAGAGAATTTTCAATTTATTATAAATAATCAGTGGATCAGAATTGAAAAAAAGTATGTTTTTAATACAAAAACTTACA